TAGAAAGTACACAACGCGGGCATGGAAAGACGTGTACTGTACGGAAGAGGCAGACGGAACCCTTGTCGTCGAATCTCTACGTATTCCGAACATGCATGATGTGAAACGCCATATAGACTTGAAAGATACCAAACTCTGCATGCCCCCCGCCTACAGGCCCCGTGCCGGGCGCCCAAGCGTCAAAAGAAAAGAGAGGACGAAGAAGGCCCAGGGAAACGGAAAGGAAAAAAAGGGGCATTATTGCCATTGCTGCTTCAGATTCGTCACTGACCACACTAAAAAGAGTTGTCCTGAGAGGGATGCTTTGGAACTGGTGGATAATTTGGAGCCGATGTTGGCAGAAAAAAGCGACAAGGCCCCAGCCGAAAATGGCGATGCGCCATTACCCGAGGATATGGCATGGCAAGCAAATGCATCGGTGCCGGATGAATTTAGAGATTATGCTCCTTCTTGAGTAAAATCCCGCATGGGGGGTCGGGTCTGTAAAATTCGACTGGGTCCGGCGGGGGCGTACTTGGGAAGGCGTCGGGCGACCCCCCCAAGGTCCCCAGGGAGCTCCTGGCACTTATTTTCTGGGTCGGTCGGTCGGTCGGTCCGTCGTCGCCGCCGCCGCCGCCGCCGTCGTCGTCGTCGTCGCGCGCGCGCGGGGGAGTTTCGAACCTAATTCAGTCGCAGGGCGATCGCAGAGCGGTGATGAGTTGCCCCATGCCAGCTGTCATTATATGGACCCGGGAATGTGAAAAATCGAGTCGGCGCGCCCCGCAGTCGCAGTGATCGACAGTCGCCGCAGAATGCCGCCAGCAGAATTTTTTGCGCTCCCGAACCCCGTCGTCGCTGCCCGACGCAGCACGCGCGCTTTTCGTGCACCACCTGGCGCAAAACGGCGCGGTGCCGGCGCATCACATCATCGCAGCGTTATCCGTCGGTCGAAAGGATGCAGTTTTGTACGATTTCGATGAGGTTTTCGATTCCTACTTCAATAAATTAACCCAAACGTTTTGCTTTGTAACACCCCTGGGTCGACGAGTTAAATTCACGGGCCGCGCTGAAATTACGGCGCCCGCCGTCGGAAGCGGTTGCTGGTCCAAGTAAGCAAAATCTTACCGATGGCGACGCGCGGTGGGAAATTCCAGAGTGCTGGCGGGACGAAAACCAAGAATCGTCCAGAAAAATGTTCGAGTTAAATTCGAGGGCCTGTCCCACGCGATCAAACGCGCCGGTTTATGAGGGGTGGGAACAACGAAAGTCAAGTTGTATTATCCGACCCCCTCATGCGGGATTTGGCTCCTTGAACTGCACAAAATGACCTGTGCAGGTGATCTGCCACCTCACCTTTTAGAGATTTTTTTCGCGGGGGTAGTCTAATAATGATATTTTGCACGCTTTGCTGGTCGTGCTAAAGGAGGGTTGCTTCGGGCGAAAATTTCGAGGGAGGCAGCCCCTTTTGCAAAAAGAATGCTGGGATGCTGGGTTTGGCGTGTCTTTGAGGCAGCGTGACGTCCTGTCTGCCTCAACAGGCTGAGGAGGAGGATGATCACACTCAACCTTTGAGGAAGCTGGTGGCTTTCCTGCTCAGGAAGCTGAGGAGGATGATGATCACACTCAAGGAGGAAGATGGTGGCTGTGCTCAGGAAGCAGCTGAGGAGAATGATGATCATACTCAACCTTGGAGGAAGCTGGTGGCTTTCCTGCTCAGGAAGCTGAGGAGGATGATGATCACACTCAAGGAGGAAGATGGTGGCTGCGTTCAGGAAGCTGAGGAGGATGATGATCATACTCAACCTTGGAGGAAGCTGGTGGCTTTGCTGCTCAGGAAGCTGAGGAGGATGATGATCACACTCAACCTTTGAGGAAGCTGGTGGCTTTCCTGCTCAGGAAGCTGAGGAGGATGATGATCACACTCAACCTTCCTCAGCAGGCTGAGGAGGATGATGATCACACTCAAGGGAGGAAGATGGTGGCTGTGCTCGGGAAGCTGAGGAGAATGATGATCATACTCAACCTTGGAGGAAGCTGGTGGCTTTCCTGCTCAGGAAGCTGAGGAGGATGATGATCACACTCAA